GCGGGGAGCAAGCCTACCTACAACGTCCAGGTACTGCTGCACCACGCTCTTGGGCTCCGGGCCCAGGAACACGTACACGTCCAGGATCCCCCCTGTTGACCTCCAGCTGAGGGCCGGGTTTGGCTGCAGGACCACGTCTGGGAGGAGCGGCCCTGGGGCTCAGGGACAAATACCCGCCCGCCCCCCCAGGGCCCTGGGCACCTCACAGATGGGCCAAACTACCTCTGGAGAAGGGGGTCGTCCCATGGGGAGCCTGGGAACAGCCTGCTTAGGGGACAGGGGACCCTGAGGACCTGCTGAGGACCCTGGAGCAGGACAGGAGGTTGCTGAGCAGCTGGACCTCAGGATTCCTCTTTCTGGCCTCTGCCCACCCCCAGAGCCAAGGGCAGAGCTAGAGAGGCCACGCCCACTGGACTCATTTCTTAGAAGAGTAAACAAGGCCTGACCCCTGTCCACAGCCCCCTCCCCAGCCCGTGGGGGCAGATGCAGAGACCCCCACACTCCACCTACGAAGAGGAAGTGGCCGTGCCTGGGGAAGCCCCTGGCCTGGGCGCTTGGAACCAGCTGGGGGTAGGGTCTCAGCCGCTTGCTTACCCATGGCGTTGCTGTTCAGGAGGAAGACCCCGTGAGCCAGCCCGCCGTCCTCCAGCACCAGGTAGAAAGGGTGGGACCCATACAGGTTCGCGTTGGGCTGGGACGCAGAGGACAAGGCACTTGGCTCCCTCACCCCAGTGGCTCCTGCCGTCCAGGCCCAGCCCCAGCCACCCCTTTACCGTGGGCGCGATGTCCCGGTTCCAGAGGGTGATCTTGGTCCAGTTGGTGCTGAGCATGAGGGGGCCCAGGTGCTCGGCGAGGCCAGTGATGTGAGGGGACGGCAGTGAGGTGGATAGCTGCAGAAACTGGTCGGCGAAGAACAGCGGCGCCACCGTGGTGTTCAGCCTACCGGGAAGAGACCAGGTGGCCTTGCAACCTCGGGGGCCAGAGAAACCCAACACGAATCCCCCGGGAGAGACCCCCAGGCCCTGGTGTCCCCTGAGGAGGGTAGAGTGGCCTGGCCAGCTCTGGACACGCTGAGCTCCGGACAGCGGCAGCCATTTGAGGACAAACAACCTGGGGTACCTGACACGGGGTGGACAGCACCCAGAGCACATCCAGAAAAGGGATGCTGCCTGGCTGTGCCCACACCACCCCGAGTGGACTCCAGGAGCAGGCTGCCCCATGAGCCCTGGCTGCAGCCAGGTACTGGGTGCGAGCTGCCCCCAAACCTTCCTGACCTAGGAGTTGTGGCCCTGAGTTCCCAGCAAGGAGGCCTGAGGGGGAGGGTGGGCCAGGACAGGGTCAGGAATGATGCCATCCCAACCCCCCAACCCTCCCACCCGGGGTCAGGGCACTCACAGCACCCGGCCGTCCAGCTTCCGCCGAACGATCACCCCAAACGGCTCCTCGGAGAACTCCACACTGTAGAGAGTGGATGGTGCCCGGCTGCGGACATGCGGGGTCTCCAAGGGCACCTCGTAACGCCTGCTGGCAGGATCTTTGATCTAAACGAGAGCAGTCGTATCTTGAGTCAGCTGCCATCCCGGCTCCTGCCCTCCCCGAGCCTCGGTTTGCTCACCTGTAGAGCCAGGAGCACACCTGCTTGGGTTGCCGGGTGAAATACAGAACACCCAGTGAACCCAAGTTTGAGAGAAACAACAATTTTTTTAGCGTAATAAGTGTCTCAGGTAGCACATGAGACCTACACTGAAGACATAAACTCGGTCCTTGGTTATGTGGTTCCTGTTTACTAGGTTTCCTGGGTCTGGCAACACTCTTCCGCCTGGCACACCTGGCACAGGGTGAGTGAGAAACGCAATGAGAGCCCAGCTCTTGTCTGGTGCGCAGAACCACTCAGTAAACGATGGCATTTCGAGTGCTGTTTAAACAGGGCCACCAGAGCTGTATCTAGCTCCGGCCTTTGCGTCTGCACATTACCTCACTCCACAGAGTGTCACAGGGCACTGCTCTGTGCCAGATGGTGCTCCATCGGCGGGGACACCGCAGACAGAAGGCCCTGCCTCGGGGACGGACAGTCGGTGGCTGGGGTCCCACCACCCACTGCCTGCTCTGCTCCCCCTTCCTCCCTTCACCGTCTCGCTTGCTGAATGCAGGTCCTGGGGGAGATGTCACTTTTGGGGGAGGCCTAACCTCCCTCCACCATGCATGAGCATCACCCTCCAGAGCAATTCTAGAACCTTCTGGTCACGGTGTTAGTGGTCACTGCTCCCTGAGTGCGGGCACTGTGTCTGCTCACTCCAGGACTCTCAGCGAGGGCACAATACATATTTTTGCAATAAACAGACACCCAGTCGAGCCCGTGTTTGTCCCGTCCCTACACCCTGTCCTGCCGCGGCAGGTGCCCGGCCCCCCCCGGCCCACACACCGTGAAGTGCAGTCGGCTCTCGGTCTCCACCAGCACGTCCAGCCGCAAGGTCAGGATGTCCTTGGGGAAGAAGGTTGGGGTGATGCGGGTCAGGCTGGCCGTGTAGCCAGTGTCCGTGGAGGTCAGGTTCCCCAGCGTGTAGCTCGGGTAGCTGGGGGGGAAGAAACACCACGGCGGTCCCATCTGGGAGCCCCAGGGCTGCCCCACGGGCACATAGCAGCATCCCCGGGCCTCACACTGCTCCTGGGTGATGCCCTTGTCTGGGGCGCAGTCGAAGCGGCTATTGGGGGGCACGTTGCACTGTGTGGGTGTTGCTCCAGGGCGGGGCTGGGGCCTCAGGCGGCTGGCTCCCTGCTGGGGAGCTCGGTACCCCTCCTTGGGTACTGGGGAGGAGCCACGCAGCTCTCGGGGGGCCACTGCCAAGTCATGGAGCAGGATGTGCCCCAGAAGGGCAGCGGTGGCCAAGGAGAGGAGGGCATAGACCCCCAGCAGGCGGCGGGAGCAGGGCGGCCATCTCACGTCCATGGTCTCAGTGCCTGTGGGGACCAGTTCCGGAGGCCTGTGAAGAGAGGAAAAGGGAAGTGGGGAGCAGCCGGGGCCTCGGGGACTGTCCAAGCAGCTTTCAGACATGAACCTGCGCGGGCCGGCTGTGCGCAGGGCAGCGGTGGGGTCTGCCGAGGAGGGGGCAGGCAGCTGGGGATGGGTGAGCTCGCCCGGCTCTGTTCAGACAGACGCGGGGGAGGGGAGAAAGGGGAAGGAGGGAAAGTCCCAAATAGGGGGTTGCAGAATCCCGTGAAATGTTACCAATGAAACGCACTTAGAAGGCCTGTAAAAATGAGACCCACATGATACAGTGACAGGTGGAACGAGCAAGTTCCAACAGCACACGGCCGAGACCACCTTTGCAGAAAGGCCGAGGTTATTAAATTGTGACCAAAGGGGTGCAAATGGAGGTGCCCTTAGGGGGACGCCCCCCCGCCCTCTGTGCCCCTCTCGCTGACCTGCATGTGGATACAGCCTGGGGAGGCAGGGATGGCAAAGCCACGGGAGGGAGGCCTGGCCCCGGGAGGGGAAGCTCAGAGGCCCTCGGAGCCCCACCCGCCAGAGGCCAGGTTGGGGGGAGCCTGGCTTGGCTGGGGGAGCCTGGGTGGTCCTTGTCTGTCTCTGTCACAGCAGCTGCACTGGGGCCTCACTCGTTCCTCCGGAGTTCAGACTGTTATTACCTTCATTTTGCTCACCTGCACGTTCTGAATGTTTTATAAGAAACACGGTTGGTCTAGCTCCTCCGAGATGCAGAGACACCACCGTGGGACTAAGGGGGCGGGGATTCTATTAAGGGGAGTCCTTTCTGTCTGAGAGAAAATGGGGAGGTTGCCGGGAGGCTGGGAGAGCCTTTACACCCCTGAAAGTCTGACCCCACGGGAGGGTGGGGATGGTGGCGGGGTCCACGCCCTCTCAGGGCCTGCCAGCCTCCCAGCGTCAAAATGTGTTCACCGGCTCGGACGCTCTCCAAACCCCAAGAAGTTTAGGATTTTACTACGCAGGCGCCATTGGTTAGATCACTGGCGTTGGTGATTATTCACCAGCCCCTCTCAGCTCCCCAGAAGCTGGGGGTGAAAGTTCCCACCCTGAGACTCTGGGACCAGCCATATAAAATACACCCACCATTCCCAAGGTACCAGGGGTTGAGGAGTACGGAAAAAAGACTACATATTTCCCATTTCTATCACGGTGTCCCTCCCCGACACCTCTGGTGCCTTGTGATGGTGACTGAGAAACTGGGGGACTCAGAGCCTAGAGCAGGGTCGGGGTGAGGGGCTCCTGGGCGATGCCCCCCCGCCCCACCCAGAGTCCAGAAGCTGCAGGTGCGCAGGGCGGGGAGAGATCCCAGAAATGGGGAGAGCCGCGGGGATGGGGGGCGGGGGTGACACTGTGCAGAAAATGGGAAGAACTGAAGGTCAGGAGGTCAATGGCGCGGCTGTCCAGCGGCCTGTCCCCGCTTTGGGGGACGCGGCTCAGGCCGCTGCTCCCGGCCAGGGTGGCCGTGCAGCCCCGCTGCACCCCTGCAGGGGAAGCGAGGGCTCGCCTGTGCCTCAGTTTCCTCCCTGTGACACGGGCCAGCGCGCCTCAATAAGGACCGTGCAGTTTCGGGGGTCCCCACGTTACTGCTGCCCCCGCCACGCGCGGGCCCTGGCACGACGTGCGCAGCTTCTCCGACAGGAAATCGCTGACGCCCCGTCGGTGGGTCGATCCGCCGATCCCTCCCGCTTCCGGGCGGCCATGGGGTGCCCGCCCCGCCCGGCCTCTCGCCAGCAGG